TCGTTATATCTATCTATCATTCTATCTATCGTTATATCGTTCTATCTATCGTTCTATCGCTCTATCTATCATTCTATCTATCATTCTATCGTTCTATCTATCTATCGTTCTATCTATCATACTATCGTTCTATCTATCTATCATCCTATTGTTCTATCTATCTATCATTCTATCATTCTATCTATCTATCGTTCTATCATTCTATCTATCATCTATCTTTATATCTATCTATCGTTCTATCTATCGTTATATCGTTCTATCTATCATTCTATCGCTCTATCTATCTTTCTATCTAACTATTGTTCTATCATTCTTTCTATAATTCTGAGTCTTTCAATCCACCCATCCATTGTTCTATCTATCTATCTATCTATCTATCATCCTATTGTTCTATCTATCTATCTATCATTCTATCTATCTATCGTCCTATCATTCTATCTATCTATCGTTCTATCTATCGTTATATCGTTCTATCTATCGTTATATCGTTCTATCTATCGTTCTATCTAGCATTCTATCATTCTATCGTTCTATCTATCTATCTATCTATCTATCTATCTATCTATCGTTCTATCTATCATACTATCGTTCTATCTATCTAGCATCATATTGTTCTATCTATCTATCTATCTATCTATCTATCGTTATATCTATCTATCGTTATCGTTATATCGTTCTATCTATCGTTCTATCGCTCTATCTATCATTCTATCTATCATTCTATCATTCTATCTATCTATCTATCGTTCTATCTATCATACTATCGTTCTATCTATCTATCATCCTATTGTTCTATCTATCTATCATTCTATCTATCGTTCTATCATTCTATCTATCTATCTATCGTTATATCTATCTATCGTTCTATCTATCGTTATATCGTTCTATCTATCGTTCTATCGCTCTATCTATTGTTCTATCTATCATTCTGTCTATTGTTCTATCGTTCTATCTATCGTTCTATCTATCATACTATCGTTCTATCTATCTATCATCCTATTGTTCTATCTATCTATCATTCTATCTATCGTTCTATCATTCTATCTATCTATCGTTATATCTATCTATCGTTCTATCTATCATACTATCGTTCTATCTATCATCCTATTGTTCTATCTATCTATCATTCTATCTATCGTTCTATCTATCTATCGTTATATCTATCTATCGTTCTATCTATCGTTCTATCGCTCTATCTATTGTTCTATCTATCATTCTATCGTTCTATCTATCTATCTATCTATCGATCTATCTATTGTTATATCTATCTATCGTTCTATCTATCGTTATATCGTTATATCTATCGTTCTATCGCTCTATCTATCGTTCTATCTATCATTCTATCGTTCTATCTATCTATCTATCTGTCTATCTATCTATCTATCTATCTATCTATCTATCTAGCATCCTATTGTTCTATCATCTATCTATCTATCTATCGTTATCGTTATATCGTTCTATCTATCGTTCTATTGCTCTATCTATCGTTCTATCTATCATTCTATCTATCTATCTATCTATCGTTCTATCTATTGATCTATCTATCTATCTATCGTTATATCTATCTATCGTTCTGTCTATTGTTCTATCGTTCTATCTATCATACTATCGTTCTATCTATCTATCATCCTATTGTTCTATCTATCTATCATTCTATCTATCGTTCTATCTATGTATCGTTCTATCATTCTATCTTTCTATAGTTCTATCGTTCTATCTATCGTTCTATCGCTCTATCGTTCTGTCTATCATTCTACCATTCTATCTATCTATCTATCTATCTATCTATCTATCTATCTATCTATCTATCTATCTATCGATCATCTATCTATCGTTCTATCATTCTATCTATCTATCTATCGTTATATCTATCTATCGTTCTATCTATCGTTATATCGTTCTATCTATCGTTCTATCGCTCTATCATTCTATCTAAAATTCTATCATTCTATCTAAAATTCTATCATTCTATCTATCTATCTATCTATCTATCTATCTATCTATCTATCTATCAGTTATTGAAGTGCACAGAACAGTGCACTCGATGACGGCTGAGTAGAACTGCTTCAGCAGTTCCTGTGGCAGGTTGAATTTCCTTAGCTGGCGAAGGAAGTACAACCTCTGCTGGGCCTTTTTAACAGTGGAGTCAATGTGAGTGTCCCACTTCAGGTCCTGAGAGATGGTGGTGCCCAGGAACCTGAATGACTCCACTGTAAAAGATTGTGTGGTGTGTACTGCCAAATGTTCAGCAGTTCATCCCTGGTAAAACTGATCGTGTTTGAGAAACAAAAAACAGGAAAAACTAACAAAAACAGTACAAACACTGGAGAGCCAAACACTGAGGCTGCCGTCTGCGGCGCCATCGCATGACCGCCGGTCATATCTATCTATCGTTCTATCGTTCTATCTATCGTTCTATCACTCTATCTATCATTCTATCTATCATTCTATCTATCTATCGTTCTATCTATCTAGCTATCGTTCTATCTGTCATTCTATCTATCGTTCTATCTATCGTTCTATCGTTCTGTCGTTCTATCTATTGTTCTATCGTTCTATCTACATGTTAAAAAGTGCTATACAAAGAAATTTGCATGAAATTGAAGATGTTTTCATTATTTTTTATCTTTTATCAAGTTTCAAGTTTTTTCAAGTCTGCTTTATTGTCAATTCTTCCACATGTACAGCACATACACACAGAGAATTGAAATTGCGTTACTCTCAGAGTGTGAACGCGCCGCCATGTTTGTCATTAGTCATTTATGCATCTAATATTAGATTCTGTATGCTGTCAACTTACTATAAAGTACGTTTTCAAATTACAATAGCAATATACATACACTGTAAAAATATTTAAAAGTAAAATATGTTGTTAAAACAACAAAGATTATTTGAGTACATTTTACAAGAAAATAATATTTCAGTCTTCAATTAATTGTTACTTTTACTAGCAATTTTTGAGTGAAATTTTCTTCTACACCAATTTATTTCAGTGTAACAGGCAGATTTTTTATTTAGCAAACAACATGTTTTCTTTCCTATTTTTTTTTCTCACACAAGTGGTTCTTGATACATGAAAATGTATAACCTTTATATATAAAATATATAAAATTATATGACCTGCCTTTATATTTTAGAAGCAGGTCCCTCAGGTTCATCAGTTTCAGGGGTCCTTTGGGGGGGATTTGCAAAAACCAGGCAACTTAATGCAAATAAGTTGCAAATAATTCATTTTGTAAATTGCATATAAAATACAATTTGTATAAAAATCTCTCAGAATCAGTAACCTTAAACAATCTACTGACAGCTTTGGATGTTTGGCACGCTGTAGTCATTCTGTCAGGGTTCTTCTTCAATTGAAATGAGCAACTATTGATAAGGAGCTTAATTAAGGAGATTTAAAAATCTTTAGAACAGTATTCAAGGTGAACGCTCAAAAAATTGAAGGACGCAGTGGTTTAACACAGATTGCTATATGATAAATATTGAGGTTGGTTCTGTCAAAATGCTCTGACCCCCTACAGCACCACTGCTGACTTGAAGATTCAGATGTGCTGTCTGAGCTCCAGAGATCTAGTTATATGAAAATAAGCTTGTAATTTTGTAACAGGTCCAGTTTATAAATGCCTAACCCATTATATTGCTCCAACCTTTCTTGGTCTCACACCTTGTACATTTTTAAATGCATTGGATGTTCAATGACACAAGCATTCAAGACCTGTGATTTTTAGAGCAGTTAAAGGGGTCAGCGAACAGGTGGAATAAACGGAAACATCTCCCGTTCACAGCCAAATGAACAGGCTTACCCTACTTTCCCTGTGCTTTTGTCTGAAGGACATCACTGAGTGTGTAACGCTGAAAGTCTCTCTCAGGAAGTGGTTCAGTATGAAATCCTCTCGTGGTAGCAGTTGGCCTTCATACAAGATAAAAACTCGGTCAAGTTTAGATTCAGTCCCCATATACTCTTTCTAAAATGATAAATGATGTTTATACACATAAATACACCTAATATCTGCTATTTATGTGAGATGTTTGCAGTCTTTCTCTTGTGGATAAACCTTTTAGAACCAAATGTCATGTTCAGGCAGTCAGATCTTTGCTCAAATTTTGGGAAGTTTTGAATATTTGACAGTATAGCAGGGCAGCTGCTATTTTAGATTATATAAGTAAATGTGGTCTTTGGACAAAAATCAAAAAGCTAAAAATAGTGCAATATTTGGTTGCCTTTATGTTGTTCACATACTTGTAATTTACCTTATGATATCTCCCAGGGACCATGGGAAATGTCAATTTGGACAAAATCAAGCTTGGGAACAATTTTATAACTGGTATTATGTTTTAAAATTATGAAATTGTTATGTATGGATGATTAAATATGCAACCGCAAAGTCGAAACACATTTCACCTGAATAATATTGAAGGATGTGATTATGGGCTATAAGCAATGACTTTTTAATTGCCATATAAAGATTTTATTGTAACCTCATTTGCAGGGTGTGCTCTATTTGTGCCACATTAAGCACAATTAAAGGACATTTATAAAACAAATATTTTAAGCTCTATAATTTAATTGGATGACCTGTATTCTGTATTATTTTGAACAGTGGATATACAGAACACACTTGTGACTGAATTTCATTTGATTCTACAGTATATTAAGCACCAAGTTATGGTGTTATTTATTTAGATGGTGATGACTGATGATTATTATGTTAAAAAAAACTATAAAATGATTATATTAATAAATATATTTTATTTATGATTAAATTAATAAATATATTAATATGTAATTTGTATGCTATACTAATATATAATAATTATATTTAAATATTTTATGTAAGTTTATAATAATAACATTAACAACAACAACAATAATTATTATCATTCATATTAGTAGTAGTAGTAGGAGTCTTACATATAATTATAAAACTTTTTATAAGATTTAATATTTTATAAATTATAATAATTTATTATGTAATAATTATTATATTAACTCGCAGGGTGACGGTTCTACCTTCCTTCAGCTGGGCTCTTCCATCGAGCAGCAGATCAATGGGATGTTCAAGATGATGGAGGAGTACAACTGGGACAGTTTTGTTTTGGTGACCAGCCTGTACCCGGGCTATGACACCTATGTGGACTACATCCGCTCCTTTATCGATACATCTTACTTCCTCTGGGAGTTGCAGGAAATCTTGACGTTTGACATGTCGGCCGATGGCATGAACGACCTCCGTGCCCGCCGGTTACTTCAGCAGATCGACGCGCAGGTGCTGCTGGTGTACTGCTCACACGATGAGGCCCAGTACCTCTTCACCATGGCCAGGGAAGTGGGTTTGGCTGGTCCGGGGTATATCTGGTTTATCCCCAGCCTTGCAGTGGGAAACCCCAATATGCCTCCTCCAGACAGCTTCCCTGTTGGATTGATCAGCGTTATCACAGATCGCTGGAAGATGAGCTTGAGAAACAGGGTCAGGGATGGTGTAGCCATCGTCGCGAAAGGAGTGGAGGGCTTCCGCAAACAGAGAGGGTTTATTCCTGATAAAAATTCTGCCATCATAAATTCAATCTCATGTCATTCCAAACCTGCATGACTTTATTTCTTCTGTGGAATGTGAAAGACGATATCCCATATTACCAACATTATTTAAAATATATTCATACAGGTTTGGAATTACATGAGGGAGAGTACATTATGACAAAATGTATGACTGATGACTGATAGATGGCTTATATAAAAATTCTATACTATTTTGTCTGAATAAAATAATAATAACAATATATAATAAAATAATTAGTGTGTATATACAGTATATATATATATATATATATATATATATTGTTATTAAATTGTAAGTGTTTTTAAAGATTAGCTTATAAGTGAGCTTTGGAAGATGGCTGAGGTAATCTAAGTGTAAATAGGATAAATTAACAGAAATAATGGATACCAATACATTAAAAATATTTGATATTGGCAGATAATCAATATGGTAAAGACATATTGTGCATTCCTATTAAAAACAACTGTAGAGGCTTTGTGCTTACATTCGTTGGTATTTTTGGCATAACAAAGTCCTTTACTGTAATGCAAGGGGTTGTGGGCAATATACTTAAAGTCTATCAGAAATAGATAATAGAAATTAAGTAATAATACTTCATCAGAAATAAAATGAAATGAAATTTCAATGGACTTTGATTTGGGATGCGCTAATCCTAATACCGCTTACTATATAGTTGGGAAATTTGGATGCAGCCATGGTATGGGAGAGATATTGGACAACAGATGGAGGATATTGGGGAAATCCAATGTACAAATGTGCTTTGGTACGAAATCTACGATAAGGTTACAAAAACTCCCAAGAACCTTTGAATTTACCTGACCCAACAGGATCACCTAAGCAAACTTAAGGTGGACGGATATAAAGTGACAGGAAAGTTTGAACTTCTGCCAGCAGTTTTCTGTAGCAGGACCAAAATGTGCAGCAAATTGCCCAGTCTGTGCCATCCGGATTTAGATACAGCGATCAGAGCAAAAATATAACATGTGATGTGCCCTTTCTTGCCAGGGCTGCCCAAAAGAGCAATCTGGTGCCATCTGTGCCAGGGAACACAATAAATCCTATTTCGTCAGAAAATGTTTTAATCATCCAAAGGGGGGCAGAGTTTGAGCGGCCGAGGCAGAGAGAGGTGCTCTGTGTTTGGTGTAGCCCAAGGTCACTGGGTTGTAAATCATGTGAGAAATCTGTAAATGTGTGTGCATTGCTGTAAAATACCACAAGTGGTTTTTATACCATTATCAAAAAAAAAAAAAAGAATAAATCAAAAGTGTATGCTTCCTCATGTCATTCCCAACATGTATACTGTCAACACATAAAAAGAATTTTAGTAGAATCTTTACACTTTACACTTACACTTACACTTAACACTTTTCATGAAAGTTCATAGACTGCTAAAATCCACTTTGTTCTAAATATTTTTGTTTCATTTTCCAGTTAAAATATTTAATTGAAACAATATACATGTGTGGAACTTAAGAAGTGACACTGAATAAAATATGAAAACTTTTTTAGAGAATGTTTTTGTACATGAATATATTTTGTCTTACTGCATTGGCACATTAAAGGAATAGTTCACAAAAATTAAAATCTGCTTAAAATGTAACCACTCTCGGGCCATTCAAGATGTAGATGAGTTTGTTTGTTCATGGGAACAGATATGGAGAAATGTAACATTACATCACTTGCTCATCAATGGATCCTCTGCAGTGAATGGGTGCCGTCAGAATGAGAGTCCAAACAGCTGATAAAAACCTCACAATAATCCAAAAGTAATCCACACCACTCCAGTACATCAGTTAATGTGTAGGGAAGTGAAAAGCTATTCCTTTAAGACTTGCATAAACAAGTCTTAATATCTTATGCCGTGTTGATTCTCAAGTAAATGTATCATTTAAAAGATTTTTTGAAGCCAAAAAGGAAGTATAGTGACCAGAAATGACAAAAACATCATAAATGTAGTGATCCAGGTTCCAAAATGAAGTCATTTACGTTGCCTCCCAAGATGCCTCATTTATCCTTTGTGAAGAAAGCAATCCCATAATGCATTGCTACATGTTCAGTGGGAAAATAAATAAAAAAGTGTGGATGAGGTGAGAGAAATATTGATTGGAAACAAACATATATGCAATTCAGTACTGAGAATTATAGATAATGGTTCAGTCCCAGTCTGGTCAGGTTGATCTGTTGGCAGGTTTTTTTGGACACATTTCAACAGGTCAGGCTGGGAGATTAGCTGGCCTCTCAGGTAAACCAGCTAACTAGTATGGCCAAGCTGAAAGACCACTTTTAACCAGCTAATGTTTAATAAAAAATGTGCACAGTGTAGTTTTGTGCTTTTGGAGTAATGCACTGTTAGATTAAGCAACATGCTAATGTTAAACTCAAAAACAGTTGAGTCGATTCTCCCTCAAAGCATTATTTGAGTTGCTGCCCATGTCGAGCGTTCTAAATAATTTACATAACCACATACAGCCAAACTCTACCCTCCTGAAAAAATAGTTAAAACCAGTCTAAGCTGGTTGGCTGGTTTTATCTGATCATCCAGCCTGGTCATAGCTGGTTTAGCAGGCTGGTTTTAGAGGGGTTTTGATGATTTCTTTAGCTGACCAAACAGCTAAAACCAGCAGAACACCAGCCTGGCAATGCTGGGAGGCCAGCTTAACTGTCTTAAACCAGCACTGTCTAGCTAAAACCATGCAGCTAAGACCAGTCTGCTAACATAGGTTGATTTTAGTTGTTCTTTCAATGCAAAATTTGAAATAATTTGTGAGTCAATTCTTGCTCAAAGTGCTTTTAGAGCTGCTGCCTTTGTAGACCATTTTAAATCATATACATATGCGGCTACATGAGTTAGCATACTGTCTAAGAAAGCTGCTGCCTTTGTAGGCAGCGAGGCAACTCACAAGGTTTTGGGACAGAGCTGAACACATTCACATTCCCTTAGTAGCATGATTTTTTGACAGTATAATCTTGCTTTCGAGGGGATTTATTTTCTCGTTACTCATTCAGTTTTGAGATAAAATGCCACTGAAATGATCTCGATCCAGAAGAATCACCCTCATTATTGATGGGCCGTTTTTAATTAAGTCTGATTTTAATGCTCTTGCGATTAAGTCATTTTACCTGTTAATGAGATTACAGCAGATTATCAGATTATGCTGGCTTTTCACACAGATGACACTCGTGTGCCCATAATACTCAGGGGGCTTTCATCACCTCCGCTGGGAAGCTGTATGTGTGTGTGTGTGTGTGTAGATGAGACAAGGCTGTCCAATATCCCACCCACAACGAGACCGAATTATGCTGCATGATGAATCATGTGGCTGCAATTATCTGATTTATTAATGCTTTGAGCACAAGAGTATAAGTTTTCAATAACATTAGCCATGATGCAATGTTCAGTATCAAAAGTGTATCATACTTTCAAAGCACTAATTGAGTTTGTTCTGATGATGTATTCCACTTGATCTGAGGCACTGGTAAACTTGAGCTAATCAACTATAATAATAATGCCAGTGCCAATGTGTAAAAATAGTATGAGGTTTTTGGTTTGTATTATGAAGAGAACCTTTGCACTTTTGAGGTCTCTAATGGAGAGAATTCAGAAGATGTACCATTCACAAAAATATACCAAATATAAAGCAAAAATCATCAATCCAAATTCCACAGTGACAGACAAAACTTAATACAAACCACAAAATCTGTCTGAGGAACAAGAAATGAGCTGAAGAATTATACAGGTAACCATGTTTAGAAATGGATTTTAACCATTTGCCCTTACAAAACTCACTGTCAAGGAGCTAGGATGTTGCCAGGGTGTTGCTATGTGGTTGCTAAGATGTTCTGAGTGAGTTTTAGCACAGTGCTATGCGGTTGCTAGGGTGTGCTGTATGGTTGCTAGGTGTTTGCACATTGGCCCAGATCAAAAGAATAGGTTCTAAGTTGCTAAGGTGATATAGTTTTTTTGTTGTTGTTGCATTGTAATTGGGTTGCTAGGCTGTTCTGGGAGGTTTTCAGTGCATTGATATGTCGTTGCTAGGGTGTGCTAGGTGGATCAGCACCTAGAGAGGACTTCTACAGCCCTGAATGTCAGCGGAGATCAGGACAACTAGATGAGCCACAAAGACAGATCCCCAGTGAGGACCTTGTCTCCTAGACGGCCACCGGGACAAGACCACAGGAACCAGTTGAGTCCTCTGCACAATGTGACATTGCTGCAGCCTGGAATTGAACTGCTGGTTCAGAGGAGAACTGTCCCCCTGACTGAGCCTGGTTTCTCCCAAGGTTTTTTTTTCTCTCCATTCTGTCACCGATGGAGTTTCGGTTCCTTGCCGCTGTCGCCTCTGGCTTGCTTAGTTGGGGACACTTAATTTCCAGCGACACTGTCGACTTTATTGCACAGACACTATTTACACTGAACTGAGCTGGATGATGACATCACTACTGCCTTTAACTGAAAATTGAGTGTTTACTATTATCATTTTGCATTATTGACACAATATTTTCCTAATTAATGCTGTGCAGTTGCTTTGACACAATCTGTATTGTGCATTGCTAGGGTGTTCTGGGAAGTTGTTTAGTGCATTACTGTGAAGTTGCTCTAAGGTGTTATAAGTGTTGCTATGAATTTACTAGGTTGTTTGTAGTTTTTTATGTTGTTGCTAGGGTGCTTTTAGTGGGTTGCTAGGGTGTCCTGGGAAGGTGTTTAGTGCATTACTATGCAGCAGTTAAGGTGTTCTAGGCTGTTTTAGTGTGTTAATAGGCAGTTACTAAGTTGTTCTAGGTTGTTTGTAGTTTGTTGTTATGTGGTTGGTTGGTTGGTTGGGTGATCTGATTGGTTTTAAGTGTGTTGCTATGCAGTTGCTAAAGTGTTCTTAGTAGGTTTTAGCACATTGTGTGGTTGCTATGTGTTTGCATAATAACCCAGGTTAAAAGAGCTAGGTTCTAATGGCGCTTTTCCACTGCATGGTAT